GTATTTTTTAGTAGAGATGGGGTTTCACTGGGTTAGGCAGGATGGTCTCGATCTCCTGACCTCGTGATCCGCCCATCTCAGCCTCCCAAAGTGCTGGGATTACAGGCTTGAGCCACCGCGCCCAGCTCAAGTCTCTAATTATATCACATTTGCTGATGCCTCATTGGCCAAAGCCAGTCACACGGCCAATCGCATTGTCAGTATGGAGGGGACTACACAGGGAGCTAGGGAGAAGTCTGTGATTCATTGGGGGCCATTACTATCACACCCTTCTCCACCCCCACTCGCTTAGAGATTTTGCTCTGCCTTAGCATCTCTTTCTGCCCAGGGATAAGGTAGAAGGAGTGGATTTTCCTGCTGCTTCCAGGGGGAGCCATTTCAGGGGCAGAGGTGGCAATTCTTCCAACCTCCTGCCCTCCTTCCCATCCCCTGCAGTGCAACTTTGCCCTGGTGCAGTATGGAGGAGTGATCCAGACTGAGTTTGACCTTCGGGACAGCCAGGATGTGATGGCCTCCCTCGCCAAAGTCCAGAATATTACTCAAGTGGGGAGTGTCACCAAGACTGCCTCAGCCATGCAACATGTCTTGTGAGTGTGGGGGCTGCAGGAATTATTCTGGCCATGCCCAGAGTCTCTGTGGCATCATGCTTGGAGGAAGTGGCTGGACAGAACTGCAGAAGAGAATTAGGGTTCCAGCCTTTCCCTGGCTGAGAGAGAACGTGAGGGATGATACCTCAAGACTGTCTTCCAAAAAGTCTTCCAAGGACTTCCTCTTGTGAGAGGCAGGAGAGCAGAGTGCTCGGTGGACAGGCTGGCTGGGTTCAGATCTCAGCTCTGGTTTGTATCTGTGTGACCTCGGGCAAACTGAAGGACCTTGTGACCTGGGCTTCCGTTTCCTCACTTTAAAAATGAGAAAAATAGGCTGAGCGTGGTAGCTCACACTTGTATTCCCAGCATTTTGGGAGGCCAAGGCAGGTGGATCACCTGAGGTCAGGAGTTTGAGACCAGCCTGGCCAACATGGTGAAACTCTGTCTCTACTAAAAATACAAAGGGTGTGGTGGCAGGTGCCTGTAATCCCAGCTACTTGGGAGGCTGAGGCAGGAGAAACGCTTGAACTCGGGAGGCAGAGGTTGCAGTGAGTTGAGATGGTGCCACTGCAATCCAGCCTGGGCAACAGAGTGAGACTCCATCTCTCTCAAGAAAATAATAATAATAAAATAAATAAATAAAATGAGAATGATAATAGTACTCACAGCTTGGAGCAGTGGCTTGTGCCTATAGTTCCAGCTACTCAGGAAGCTGAGGCAGGAGGACTGCTTGAGCCCAGGAGTCTAAGGATGCAGTGAGTCATGATCACACCACTGTACTCCAGTCTGGGTGACAGAGTGAGATGCTGTCTCTAAAAAAGAAAGAAAAATAATAGCACTTACCTGGTAGATTTTGTGGCGGTTGGATGGGTTAAAATATACAGTGTTGGCCGGGCGTCGTGGGTCACGCCTGTAATCCCAGCGCTTTGGGAGGCCGAGGCGGGTGGATCACAAGGTCAGGAGATCAAGACTATCCTGGCTAACACAGTGAAACCCCATCTCTACTAAAAATACAAAAAAATTAGCCAGGCATGGTGGCGGGCGCCTGTAGTCCCAGCTACTCGGTAGGCTGAGGCAGGAGAATGGCGTGAACCCGGGAGGCGGAGCTTGCAGTGAGCCGAGATGGCACCACTGCACTCCAGCCTGGCTGAAAAAGCGAGACTCCGTCTCAAAAAGAAAAAAAAAATTTTATATATATATAGTGTTTACAGCAGTGCCTGGCACATGATAAACGCCTGGCATATGATATTATCTATCATAAATGATAGATAATAGAGTATTATCTATCATTTTAATGTCATTACTCTTCCTGTATGCACACAAAAGGAAGAGACTGCCAGCTAGCACCTTTCTGCTGGGAGCAGGTGAGAAGCAAGAACACCTGTGTTACAGCCCTCCCTCTGCCTAGCCTCGCTGTGTGACTTAAGGGGGCATCACCCCCTTCTTTGGGTCTTTTGGGAGGATTGTGAACCCTCCCCATTCTAATACAGGTCAGAGAATGAAGTCTCTCCTGGAGTCGGTCATGCCTCTGGCAAAGCTCTCTTCTTCCTTTACTCTCCCCTGCTCAGAGACAACATCTTCACCTCAAGCCACGGCTCCAGAAGAAAGGCATCCAAGGTCATGGTGGTGCTCACCGATGGTGGCATATTCGAGGACCCCCTCGACCTTACGACAGTCATCAACTCCCCTAAAATGCATGGTGTTGAGCGCTTTGCCATTGGGGTAAGAGCCAGGAGCCGGGAGGCACCTCCTGACCCCACTCAGCCTGGGGTGGGGAGGAGTCAGTGTTGTCGATGGGGGCTTCTCTGTAAGCAGCTTATCCAGACCCTGTTCTATTCGCAAACACTCCCCTTCTCCCCATGCCCTGTCATCCCAGAGAGGGCCCATTTCCCCATGGTGGTCACAGCTTCCTGGCCAAATAGTGACGGGAGAGCCCACAGGAAACACGGTTCCTGGAGGACCGTGGTGCGGAGCTGAGTCCTGCCAGACAAATGAGAGTAGCTGCTTAGGGCACAGGGGAGGCAGAGAGGGCCCCGCAGGCAGAGGGAACCGGAGTAGCTGCTTAGGGCACAGGGGAGGCAGAGAGGGCCCCGCAGGCAGAGGGAACAGCATGTGCAGAGGTGAGGAGGGGCTCGGTGTGTTCAGGAGAACTGGTGTACTTTGGTAAAACCGGAATTTTGCCCAGAGTGTGTGTAGAACAGGGAGCAGGGAAAGGAGGAGAAAGGAAGAAAGGAGGCAGGTAATGGAGGGCTCCAGAGGCCCCGGGGAGGGGCTCAGCTCTCTCCCTGGGCCTGGGGAATCCTCGCGGTGCTGACTCACTGACCCAGGCCCCCTGTGCAGGTGGGAGAAGAATTTAAGAGTGCTAGGACTGAGAGGGAACTCAACCTGATCGCCTCAGACCCGGA